TAGATGACCACGAATGCTCATACAGCTGGGCCAAGGTCTCCGTGATGACCCCTGCCAGCTCCCTCAACACCCTTGGGTACAGGGCATCTGGACCTGCAGATTTAAAAATGTCTAGCCCTTCCAGAAGATGCCTAACTACATCTGCCCTGACTGAAGGCCTGACAGAGCTATCCCCGAGATTGCCCCTACCTCTGGTAGGTGGGACGTCCCGGTCCCTGTTCAAGAAAACAGAGGCAAAGAAACTGTTAAAAATATCAGCTTTCTTGTCTGGTGTAGTCACAAGATTACCGTTTGCATCTTGCAGGGGCCCTACATTGCTTGGTGCCCTCTTCTTGCTCCAAATGTACTTGAAAAAGGACTTTTTGTTGTCCTTAATCCTGGATGCTAGCCTGAGTTCCATCTCTGCCCTGGCATTCCTAATAGCCCTCCTACACTCACAGGCTGAGGAGGAGTACTCCTCCTTGGTGATAGCTCCTCCCTTCCACTGGTTGTATGCCTCCCTTTTAGTCCTCAGGCATTCCTGAATGCCCTTGCTGAGCCATGGGGGTTTCTGAGCACTCTTACCCACCTTGCTTCTCTCAGGGACTGTTATCCTTTGGGCCTGGAGGATCACCCCCTTAAGGTATCAAAAGTGTTCTTAGTTACTTTAACTGCAATCCCCTCCCATCGGTTCTGAAACTTGCAAGTGTGCAAAACATCCAAACACATGACATATGACCAAATGGTATTGAACCAATGTTTAATGTCATGCCATAAACAAATATAAGTCTTATTAAGTACAAAGCACATACTGAGCATATTTTTCCACTGCATCCATGAAATAAACCAGTTTTGCCAATTGTAACTAGTTCATGGCTGGAAAGCTAGCATATAGATGTGTTACATCTGTAAAACCAGTTCACGGGATTCAGTGAAAAACATCCCTATAACAGATTTAACCATTGGTGCTCAACCACTGGTTCACAGGCCGGATTGGCCCACAGAGCCATGTAATCCATCTCCTGAATCTTCATGGGTTTGGAAATTTGGCAGTGAGGGAGCAGTGGCAATTAACATTGCCACCACTCCCCTGCCACCAAATTTCCAAGCCTTACATGGCTGGATCAACCCCAGCTGGGCTGGCTCCACATGGAGAGATCAAGTCCCGCTCCTGCACAGCTGGATCAGCTCCATGTGGCTGCATCAGATCCCGGCTGGGCCAGTGCCATGCTTCGGATCAGGCCCATGGACTGGATGTGGCTGCAAATGGACTTGACACTGTTCATCCAGCTCATGGGCCAAAAACTTTAGGCACTACTCGTTTTAAGCATTAAACCAGATTTAATCCATCACTGCTGGCACCATGCCCAATAAAATATTGATTTCATATCTGTTTGTTATCTGGATACAAATCCTTAGAGATTGTTAGGTTCACAATTCCACTGTTTAGATACCAAAGAAATCCTCCCATTCAACTCCCACCTAATACCCCTATGAACCCAAAGTCCTCTAGGTGTCTAGGTTTCTGCTGGTTGACATACATATTACCACTCAAATCCTGACATATACAAGTAACTTGAATCCCTACAGTCTGTATTTAATCCCCAGTGATAGTCTCAAGCTATATTTTCCTACCTATCTCATATGCAGGTCTTCTTGGAGCACAGTTACCAAATTTCCCTTGAGCAAGAGATATCCATAGGCAAGACTCCTGGGGACGTGCAGAGGTATACACTTCATTATATTAAGTAGCTTAGTGGTTAGGATACTTACCTGTCAGGTACGAAGCCCTGCTCCCATTGATAATTATTTATATGATGTAAAAGAGCTTCAATAGGCTACTTGCAGATGTTAAAAAAAATGGTGCTTTTCTTTAAACTCAGTGCACTCCCACACCAAGCCCAGCACATACCCAGAAGAGGCATTGTGTTAGTTGGACCCGGCTTGCCCAACATCTGTATAGATCGGGTGCTTTAGTGGGGCTTCTGTTGGCTCATTTATCTAATCAGCTATTAGATAAAAGAACCAAAAAGCCCCACTGAAGTGCCCGATCTATACAGACACTGTGGAGCCAGATAAAAGTAATACGCTGCTTCTTCCAGTAAAGCGCTTTTTTTTTTTTTTTTTTTTAACATCTGCAAGCAACCAGTGACAGACTTGACCCTGAATACTCAATAGCCTGATAGGGCAGTGTCTCAGGATGGCAAAGATCTGGGAAGATGTTCAAGACAGGGTTCATGGCTACAATCCTAAGTGGACATAATCACCTTTCTCTGGCCTGGAATCAGGCAAATAACTGCCTAAGCCCCACCACACTTCGGCTTCTCAACACATTGACTAATTTGAGAGGCTTCCCAATAAGCATGCTGGCTTTTGTCAGTCCTCTTCTTAGAAGCTCCAATATCCCCACACATCGTGCAGTAAGTCTAGGCATCTGACATCAAACTGCGAGTAGTGAATATAATAGACTACAGAGTGCTGAACAGAGCACCTTGAAAGTTGAGATAGGAAGCATTCCTGTCCTGCCCACATAGATGAAAGATTTGAGCAGGAAGATATTACTCCTACTCAGACTGTCTCAAAACAGTTAATGAAACCTCCAATTGAAGCAGCACTCCTTAAAATTCCAGTTGATATCACTTAATTCACGTTAGCTGCACTTCAGTTGATACAGATCACCTGTCCACACCTCTCACCACCCTCTACACATACACACAGCATCTGTTCATCTTCCTGCTCATCCCTGCTGCATCTTTCAGGCCCAGCCTACCTGGAGTAGAAAGAGAAGCCAATAATTGCTAGAAGAATTCATGAACACCTAGCTGAGGCTGTGGGTTAGTTGATCTTCTATTTTCTACCTTTCTTCCCAGGAACCTGTGAAGGAGACAGCAACTAACTTTTGATAGGGAAATGTTTGATGAGAAAACAATTGTTCTGATTTGACATATTGCCTGCAGGAAGGCATAGGGAGCAAGCAACCCCTCCCCACAACCCAACAACTCAGAGTCAGTTAATTTCCCTTCTAGCCTTCTTGATTTGGCCAAATTTAATTGCTGTTTTCTTGCCCCTCCCTTACTAAAAATCTGTTGGCCTTTGTTATACAACTCTTCAGTCTTCTCTCTTTCTGCTCCTGTGTTGAGGTGCAATGGCAAAAGTTACTGGCTCCCTGTCCTAGACAGGCTATGGTATGCATTATATAATCCAGTTCAATTAAAGTCTGCCCCCGAGTACTGTAACCTATGATTCCTGGTCTGGCTCCCAGGTCATTTTGGAAAGTTTAAACAACTATCAGCTCTCTGAGACAGTAGTGGGATAATTAGATAAACTGTTCAGCTAATTTTTATCTACTGTTAGTTCAGTTTGAAATGATTCATAGACTTGCTGCAAACAAATCTAAACTAAGTGGTTCTGGGAATTTAACTAGTTGGATTATTGTGTTTTTCCATGTGTATCTCTATCCTTATAAAAGCATTCTAAGGTTCAATCTCAGCCACATGTGCAGCCTGGCTCCCCACCCCCCAGCCATGTGAAGATCACAAGCAGCACAAATGCTGGCTACCTCTCCCCTACACCACCCTGCCCCCAGGAGCATGGCAGGCAGGAGGAACCAGAAGAGAGAGGGTTAGCCTAGAACCCCCGGCCTCCATGGCACATAACAGCAGGAACAATGGAAGGAGTGATCATCAGGTAGGAGCCAACAGGCCACATATTAACCTGTCGCAGGCTGCGTACAGCCCATGGGCCGCCAGTTGGACAGCTCTGTGGTAGGCCATTTTTTTAGTATAAAGGAAAGTGTGGGTAACTTCAGGCCTTGAAAAGCTACCTCAAGGAAGCTGTCTGTGTGATAACAGTCTGCAAGCCCTAAGACATAATGGAAATATTTTTTTCTGCAATATTTCCTTCTGTCTGAGAATCTCAAAGCACTTCAAGATGTGAAACAGGTTTCAGTAGTAATGTGGAGTAAGCAAATGTGACCATGTTGCAGAGGAGGAAATTGAGAGACAAATTATAAAGCTAGACTATGACAGACCTAGAAATATCACCTCAATCTTCCAGTGTCTATTTCTGGGCAGTAATCACTTGACTGCTTTCACTACGCTTCTCACAGCCAGAAAGATTTTGCTCTGTACTTCAGAAAGTTTTACATAAAAAACCGTTTTGCTCAGAGGTAGAGACACTGCTGGTCAGTGTTTGGTAGGGGTACTTCTACACTGAAGGGGTCAGCCGACTCTGAGCTGTGTTCTAGGACAGCTGAAGTGCTAGGAGTACCAGTCCTGTCACTTACTTCTACTCCCTCTGGGAAAAACAGAGTTTGTAAGCATGACACAAGGCTTAGAGCAAGGTGGAGGAAGAGACCTTCCAGGTAAGTAAACGAGAGCAGGAGGCTAAACAGGTCCTCTCACCTTGTAAACCTGCTTCTGTGGTCACATTTAGACTGCCTCTCACCATGCTAGGGAGTGCTGCTGTGAAAATACACACTATCCACTTGCTTCTTCTCCTTGTATACTGCAAACATTTTTAATGACCCCCCCCCACCACACACACGCTCCCCCTGCCAGTACAGCCAGGCTGAATATGCAGCAATAAGCATGTTGAATGTATGAGCCTGGGAGCAGCACTGGGCCTGACTTGGATGCACACCACCCAGCATCTACCTTACATTTTTGGCATTTGGAGCAGACACGGTGGAAGCAAGAGGGTGAACACGTTTTCACAGCAGCAGTCCCCAGCACGGTTGGAGGGCAATGTAGAAGTGTCCTTAGTCACTGTAAGCTAAACTATCAGTAAACCTACTATATTGTTGGAAGAGCTAAACTGAAATTGTATTCCTAGTATAGATACTACATGGAAACAGAAAACAGAAGTAAAAAGGACAGATGAATGTGTAGCTCACATAGGACACTATTTTTAAAGGATAATCACTGAAAAATAACCACCTCAGTCTGTATAAATACTTAAATATATAGTATCCATTTAAGTTATTTTGTTGCAGTATTATGGTGACAGGGCACCTTTGGGTGCCTGCCACTTTACGGGCAGAAAACAGCCAGGTGCCTGATGAGGACAGCCATTTTGGACCCAGGGATACAAGCTGGGCTGCAGTTTACTGCAGAAGGAAATATCAGGCTGAAAGGCTGCTCCAGCCAGAGTCAGGAGGTAAGGGTGGGGTGGAGGTGACCCCTTGTTTTGGGGCAGATGTAAAACTGCACCCTGCTGGGGAAGGGTGGCCTGGTGGGGCTCCTAGTCACATGGGAGTCCCCAGGAAATGCCAGGCCAGTGACCTCCCCCGTGATAGGCAGGTCGGGGCCCCTTATAACCCCAGCCCCACATCCCTGGTGGTGTGCTAACGAGCAGGGGGAGCCTGGGGCTCATTAAGGAGCCCTGAGGCAGAGCCCAGACCAGAGGAGGGACCTGGGGCTGTGCCTAGGCAGCAGGGGAAAGCCTGGGGGTGTGAGAGAGACCCTGAGTGAGAGGGATGACAAGTAGAGAGACCCTGAGTGTGGGTGAGTGAGGAGGCCCAGTGGGGGCATAGTGGCCCAGCAAGGGGCAAGGAGCGAAATAGACCTACAGTCATACAATCGCTCAGTCAACACTCAGGTGAGGGTAGTGGGAGACACCCAACAGACTGCTCCAGGGCTGACCAAGGTGAGGACAGCTAAGCCTGAAGCTGGGTGAGGCCGGGCAGGATGAGTGTGGCCCTGAGAGAGGGCAGTATGAAGAAGGCTGGGTGAGAGCCAGCAGAGTAAATGGGACCCCAGCAAGACAGAGGTGGTCTATGAGTGGCCCTCCAGGGCTGGAGAGAAGAGCTACAACTCTGTGCCCAGTTTGCTCTGCCCACAGGCCGGGGAAGTAACACCAGAGTAACATCTGCGAGGCATGGGACCCGAAGGGAAGGTCAGAGTGGGTGTTAGGCCCTTGTCAGCAGGGCGAGTAATGGGTAGCCTCCCACCTTAGTAACAACTCTCATATTTTTCCATCAAGGTGCTGCAGCCAAGCAAAGCGGGCAGTTACCTCAGGAGCAGGGTGGCTGGCAGAGACCTTACGAGGAGGCCACCCTGTTACAATTACATTGTGTATGATTCCTGACAGCTCCAAGCATAACCTAACTGCAATATTCCCTTAACAATATTCAGTTTTACATTACACTCTGAAATTTGTTTTTTTTATATTAATGTACTGTACTTTGCACATAAATAATAACCAACTACTTATACAAGCATTCTCTATAGCCATAAATATTATTTTTATATAGTGGAATTTAGAAGTCAAGAAAGTTCTTTGCTGGCTTGTTTTCAGACAATAACACAGACTTTAAGTTACTTCTTCAGCAGTATCTTGGTGCCTATAACTATAAAAAAGATGCCTGTAATTTTATAAATTCTTTAAACAGAGGTTACATGGCTTGTTTTCTTAAATAAGGGAAAGAAGACTGATTAGTTAAGGCTGATTTCCTGGAGATGTATTCTTGTAACCTAAGTGTTTTAGTGATACTTATTATTTTATGTATTTTGGATCAAAGGAACATCTTTTAAAGAGAATTAAATAGAATTAAAAGTCATTCCTTCCATGACTCGGGAATGGGATACAGTTAAATTTAAGACCGAAAGGCTGAAAGATAAATATTCTGTCTGTCCTGTCTGGCAAACCTTTTCTTCCTCTTCTCCCATGTTTTCAAATAGGGTCTGAATTGACAAATTTGTGAGTTAACATGGCAATTAAAGGTGAAGCAGATGTTTTAACCAGCATCCCTCATACAAAGTGACGAAGTTCTAGACTTAAAATAAAACCCAAATGATATTTCCTAGATCTGAAAACTTCAAATATGTTTAGTATTTCCTTTAAGACAGTGGCCAGCATTCTTCACTGCTTTACATGTTATATAATCACCCACAACTGTGCAAGGTGTTACCTGATCAGAGTAGAAGCTCCAGACTTATTTTACATAGTTGTAAATCACTAAATGTGAAAGATAAAGAAGAATCAAGAGGACATACTAAAGCCACCTTATCACTTTAAGAAATTCTCCTAGAAATGATTAACAGACTATATATTCCTTGTGGAAATTAAATGTACAAATTTGTGAATCCGACATAGTATACATGGTTTCACAACTGCTGAATTTAAGTACAATGTCAATAAAGACAAAACAAAGTATTTAAAACCTGAATGGCAGTTAGGAAAAGACACCTAAGATCTAATCCTTAATGTTTTGAACTGTCTAGATAAAAGTATGACTTGACTACTAAGCAAGTCCCAAGTAGGTAAATAATCCTTTCACAAATTACAGCAACAACCCAGTATTCATATAGGTTTTTTCCTCAAAGGGCTGGGCCATTTGAAAACACTTGCCACTTTCTCATCATCCCTGACTTCTCATTAGGGTTACAAATAGGTAGTTATCCTTCAAACTAATTCCAATTAATTAGGATTTCTAACTTCTTCAACAGAGAGACCTGAACTTTCTGGGGAGAACTAGACAATTTTGGCTATCCCACAGCTTTTCAAAGTTCCACAATAAAACCCAGATCTAAACAGGCCCTTAAGAGCTTAAGGCAAAATTTAGGTGCCTAAATCCAAAATTGCAATCCTCAAAGCTCCCATTCAGCTCTTGCCCAATCTTAGAGGTGCCTAAAATCTGGAGGTGCCTCAGTTTTATATATGAAATTCCCAAGGCACCTAATATTCTATTTTTAGGCATGACCAAAGCACTTCAGTCTTGACAGTGTGGCCAGCTTTGTACATATCTCATACGTAAGCCTCACTGAGAGCCGCTCTACACGTGCAGGTAAAGGTTCAATGGGATCTAAGGTGTGATCCACACCACTGCACCTCCTGCCATGCCACATACGCATGGCAGGAGGCCTGACTGTAGGATCACAGATCAGATCCCATCATGCTTTACTGCTGGTGCAGGGGGAGCCATGCACCACTCACCGAGCACCCTGCACCTCATGGCTAGGAGACCACAGCTGCTACAGTCTCCCAGCTGTGGGATGCACCACATATCCCATGGTTTGAAGATGGCAAAGCTGTGGACTCCCGGCTGGGGGAGGGGAACAGACTACACATGCAAATTAAAACTGGATAGAAACCAGCTGTAAAGTTATTACACATTTTCCAGCAATAACTTTATAACTGGCTGGACCTTTTTAAGGCATATAGTTAATTTGCACGTGTAGCCTGTCTAAATTAATTGTACAATTAACCAAGTAATTGCATAACAGATGTTGCATGTAGGGAGGGCCTGAGGGCATTCCTCTGCCTGTTGCACCTGAGAGGCCCTATCCAGAAGGCTTGCTGTGAAAACACTTACAGGATCGGGCTTCACACAAAATGCAATTGTGGCCACTACTTTATTTGAAAGAATGATCCAGAGGTGGGAACTGCTACTGCCATCTTTCTATACAGAAACTCACTGGTTAAAGCATTCACTCACAGTGTAGAAGATCAGGGTTCCTTCAATCTGAGAGGATTCAAACCTCTCTATAAACACACTCAAACCTAGGTTTAACTAGGGTTGACAAGTGGGTCACCAGCCTTAAGTGCGGACTCAGAGGGGGTGCTAGATTGGTTGCTGCCACTGCTGCCAACTTAGCTGCCTTGGCCACTGCTGTTGCCCAGGGTGCCACAACTACTTGTTACACTTCTCTTCCAACACAGTGGGCACATCTACACAAGACATCTAACTGTGCAGTATCCTAGTTTACTGTGCAGTAAGCATGCGCGTCTACCCCTGTGAATGCTTACTGCACAGTAAATGATCCTAATCATGAGTAAATTTGCTACCTGCAAATCCAGGTAACAAATGTACTCACGATTAGTTACTGCACAGTAACATGTGTAGATGCGACCTGGGAGTAAATTTACTCGGTCAGCCCTGCCACTAGGTAGGGAGCCTCTCCTGCCCCAGGGCTGGGCTGCCTATACGGCAGCCCCTGCCTCAGGCCCTTAAAAGCTAGCAGGAATTTTAATCCCTGGCAGACACAGTCAGGGAGCATGAGGGCACTCCAGGCCCATGTCCCCCGGGGCAAGCCACAACCTAGCTGTGCCAGCCTGCCTGGCACTGCAGTGCTGCTGCCTGCCACTGTTCCTGCTGCTGCAGGTGGTGTTCCCGATGCCAGGCGTCCTCCACCCAATGTGCCTCCTCCACCCAGACCTTGCAGAAGAGATGCCCCAGGCCTCACAGACGTTATGTAACACACAGGCTGCAAAGATGACCCGGGGGAGGTTCATCTTGACAAACTTGAGGTGTGTGGTGAGGACGCACCAGCGGCCCTTGAGGTGGCCAAAGGCACACTCCACCAGGGCACGGGTTGGCCCAGGCAGCAGTTAACGTGGGCCTGGTGGGGATCCAGCTGGTTGGTGTAGAGCTGCATGAGCCAGGGCAGGAACAGGTAGATGGGGTCCCCGATAGCACTCAGCTGGAGGTCCAGCACCCCCCCCCAGTGTAAAGCAGCCTCTCTGCACCAGGGCTGGC